GTCTCGTGGGTGAGCTGGTTGTTGTAAGCTACCGAATGGAAGTTTTTTTTTACCTTGAAATATCAGTTTCAAAATCATTCTGATGATATACTGACTTTCAAAAAGGGGCGAATGGATTCTTCTTTTTCTTTCCAAACGTCTGTTCTGTGAGTATGTAAGTTTAGTGGGTGCAAAATTCTGCCAAAAGGGCGGATTGCTTTTACAACAGTGAATTCCACTCACTTAACGGTAAGGATCTCCAAAGTCACAAAAATACACACAACTACATGCATTTGCTTTAAAAGCCAACTACAAATCTTTCTTTGTCAAAATGTAGATTAATGATATACTTACTATCAGGTGGTGCGAATTGGTTGCTGTTGCGTCTCACAGGTTTTCCAAACTCAAGTGATTCGAACTCTCCTTCTCCTTCATCTAGAGGTCTGCGTTGTCCTTGAGATACTAATAGAGGAACAAAGCAATATCAACAGAAAACTGTAAGTCTTCATTTGTTTAAATCTCAATGAAAAATATTTCTAAAAAAATATATGGATAGGCCTGTGAAATAAGTTCCTGATTTAATACATTTCAAAACTCTATCAATAGCATTTGTGGAATACGGTCAATTATGTGAGCAGTGAAATATGTAAATATGTACTTTTGTTGTGCAAATACTGTATGTACTTTCATTGAAAGTGCATTACTGTAACTGGGTCATCAAGAGAGCTTAGGGTAAACCTACAACATTAAGATATTTTTTGACGTAGCAGTACTTACACCCAGGAGAAGTTAGCTCTACGTTGCTGTGTAGATTATGCTCTTCTCCAGTAGTTTGGATTTCTTGCTCTTTCTTTGTCGTTCCTCCCTCTTTGGACTCCAGTTCCTTCTCTCTTCTACTCAGATCTTCCTCCTGCCTTAATCTGTCCTCCACTTCCTTAAGTTTTTGCTCCAACTCTCTTTCTTTGAGTTTGTGTTGCTCCAGTTCTCTTTGGAGCTTCTCATTTTCACTCTTCATCTGACTGTCATGATGAACATAATCATCAGTCAAGGATGAATACATGTCCTTCAAGGTGCTCACAGTCTCTTTATAAGCCGCAAGCTGTTCTTTCAGTGCATTCTCACGTTCAGTAAAATCATCAATGATGGAAGGAAACATATTTTTCAAGGTGGTGTCGCTACATTCTTTGAACAGCAGATCTTCTTGAGCTCCTGAAGCCCCTTGCTGTTTCTGCTCCTCACTGTCTTTGTATTTATTTAACCGTATCATAGTGGCCAGCATCAACTGTCTCAAAGTGTCCGTTTCTTTCTTTAAATTACTTTCAGTAGTTCTAAATCTTTCTTTTAAAGCAGTCATCTCTTGTGCATAATGTTTTTGTATTTCAGCATCTCTTTCTTTTTCCCATGATAAAAATGCCTTTTTCATGAGGTTTTCATATGATGGCTGAATAAAGAATGTGGACTCATTGTTTTGTATCATTATTTCAGTTTCTCTGAACAGACATTGAACGCTTTGCTCAGTGTCCTCTAATGTGTAAAACTTTCTCACGTAGTTCCTGACACTGTCGATCCCTTTCGGTTCAGTTCTTCCAATGATCAATAACATAACATAGTCTAAGGCTTCTTTGCCAAATACTTCAGCTATTGCTTTTAAAAGGTATTTTTCCTTCTCAGTCACTTTCCTGTTGTCAGTAACTAATAGAAATGCATGAGGTCCAGGAAAGACCAGAGATGCACAATCTACCATCTCATCTTTGATAGATTTGACTCCTGAGGAGAAGCAAAGGCATGATGCCACCTGACTCATCCAGGTAGAAGGTGTTTTCACCATAATGACCTTTTTGCCAAATACATGACCTTTTCTGTGCTGTATTTCAGTTCTTCCTGCTCTTTCCCTAAGAATTATGTCACACGCATCAGCCATAAGAGCTTCATCGCCGCCAAGCATAATAAATCTAAGCTCTGTAGCGGAGCCAGTGGATCCAGTGATTGTGCCATCTGTTAAAAAGAGGTGAAATGTAATCAGATTTCTATGAATTTAGACACAGATACAGTGGTGTGAAAAAGTTTTTGCCCCCTTCTTGTTTTTTTAATTGTTTGCATATTTGTCACACTTAAAAGATTCAGATCATCAAACAAATTTTAATATTACACAAAGATAACCTGAGTAAATACAAACTGCAGTTTTTAAATAATGATTTCATTTATTAAGGGAAAAAAGCTGTCCAAACCTGCCTGGCACTACGTGAAAAAGTAATTGCCCCCTAAATCTAATAACTGGTTGTGCCACCCTTTGCAGCAACAACTGCAATCAAGCGTTTGCGATAAATGGCAATGAGTCTTTCACAGGAATTTTGGCCCACTCTTCTTTGCAGAATTGTTTCCATTCAGCCACATTGGAGGGTTTTTCAGTATGAATGGACTGTTTAAAGTCATGCCACAGCATCTCAATCGGATTTAAGTCTGGACTTTGACTTGGCCACTCCAAAACCTTAATTTTGTTTTTCTTGAGCCATTCAAAGGTGGACTTGCTGGTGTGCTTTGGATCATTGTCCTGCTGCATAAACCAAGTGCGCTTGAGCTTGAGGTCACAAACTGACGGCCGGACATTCTCCTTCAGGATTTTCTGATAGAGAGCAGAATTCATGGTTCCATCAATTATGGCAAGTCATCCAGGTCCTGAAGCTGCAAAGCAGCCCCAGACCATCACACTACCACCACCATGTTTGACTGTTGCTATGATGTTCTTTTTATGAAATGCTGTGTTGGTTTTACGCCAGATGTAACGGGACACACACCTTCCAAAAAGTTCAACTTTTGTCTCATCAGTCCACAGAATATTTGCCCAAAAGTCTTGGGGATAAACAAGATATTTTTTGGCAAATGTGAGACAAGCCTTTGTGTTCTTTTTGGTCAGCAATGGCTTTTGCCTTGGAACTCTCCCATGGATGCCGTTTTTGCCCAGTCTCTTTCTTATTGTTGAATCATGAACACTGACCTTAATTGAGGCAAGTGAGGCCTGCAGTTCTTTAGATGTTGTTCTGGGTTCTTTTATGACCTCCTGGATGAGTCGTCGTTGCGCTCAAAATCATTTCATTCAGCCACATTGGAGGGTTTTTGAGCATGAATGGACTGTTTAAGGTCATGCCACAGCATTTCAATTGGATTTAAGTCTGGACTTTGACTTGGCCGCTCCAAAACCTTAATTATTTTTTTCTTGAGCCATTCAAAGGTGGACAAAGGTGGCTGGTGTGTTTTGGATCATTGTCCTGCTGCATAAACCAAGTGCGCTTGAGCTTGAGGTCACAAACTGACGGCCGGACATTCTCCTTCAGGATTTTCTGATAAAGAGCAGAATTCATGGTTCCATCAATTATGGCAAGTCATCCAGGTCCTGAAGCTGCAAAGCAGCCCCAGACCATCACACTACCACCACCATGGTTGACTGTTGGTATGATGTTCTTTTTATCTAAGGCTCAAATATTTAGTATATATTTCATGAACATAATTTTATATTATTTAAAAATGCATGCATTTGCTTTTGTTCACAGCATTTCTTCGAACTAAGGTGTAGTCAAAATCATGTTAAAAAAACTATCACACCGGATTGAATTCTCAGATTGAATTCTAAATTTAATGTTTGTTTTGTAATAGCTTCATAAATGTATATGGATTTAATGGAAAAAAGGACAGTAGTCCAAAGTAACATTAAATTGCAAAGTAACATTAAAGACATTTAGTCATAAAATCTTAAATATTACTTACACTGTGGTGTGTCATGCTCTGTTGGAAAAAGATATTAAAACTCATTTTACTAAATGCTATTGTTTTGTTTCTTTACTGAGGGCATAGTAAAATACTAAATTCCTGGAATAACAAAATGCTTACCGTGATTAACGAGTGGACCTGCACAGAAAAAATAAAAAAATAAAATAATTAATGCTCTTTATTAGAGTACCAATGAAAATAGTGTGATTTTGTTTTATACTTACGCCTATCTGAATCTTCACTTTGCACTAAAAAACACACAACAACATTTGTTATTCATGCCTACATAAGAACTGAGCTGCACAGTTTGTAACAGAAACTCATTTACAGGAATTACTAAATATGCTAAATAGAGCTTGCAAAGCATCAAAAACAAACTAATTTCAACTCTCAGAAATAGAATGCAGATCAGTAATATTGATTATTGTTTGATAATATTGAAAGTGTTACCTCGTCTTGGTATCGCCGCCATCTTGTTGTTTGTTTGGTATAATAAGAATGGTGAAGTCCATCAACTGATTATAAGAAGGTTAAAACTGAAACAGTCATGGACACAGACATGATATATTCCTGAAAAACAGGACTGGAGTCCGATTCACGATGAATTCAGATAGAAAAATCTGTATAACCCAACTGTATGCAGATAGCAGACCTGTTACCTAAGAACAGGAAACATGTTTACTTGCAAATGAGATGCAGAACGGAAGTGCCAACCACAGAATGTTGAAAAGAAAGGTCTAGATCATGTGAAAGCTGATAACAGAGCTTATGTGGTTGAAGTAGCTAGATTTAAATTTAAATATATATATGCATATAAACTTTCAAAAATGTTATTTACATTTCCTCCACAAACATAAGTTGTTAATTTGGCATCCCTGATGTTCAGCTGCTCACAAACCACAGAAAATTTAAACTGACACGTTGTTTTCGCCTGCTTGGAGTCTGTGGTATAGATTACATATGCAGGTGTTTTGGATTTTTGGCCGCTGTCGCTTTCAACAGTTGGGCTTCACTGTAAACCTGTAAAATCCTCAAAATGAGGTCTGTCATAAGGGTTAATAAACAATGATGAAAATGATGATGAATTTTCATTTTTGAGTGGCCTATCCCTTATTTTATGTCATTTCAGTACCAACATCATCCTTCAGGATGACATAATTTTGGTGGAAAAACCACAACACAAACCTCAGTAAGTTAGCAATGGACTTGTTGATTTCTGTGATGTTTGTGCTATTAGTTGTGTCAAAGTATTTACAAATAAATAAATACATAGACATGAAAATACTACTCTGAGTTTAAATGACTTTATTATCATACAGCTTTTGCTAAGACAAATGATCCATTGTAACCTTGAAAACATCTGAAATAAAACACTGCAACAAATACTTTACAGTTCAACAGAATTATAGTGACATTTCTATTGAATTGTTTGATAAATAAATAAAACCAGAATAGATGCAAATAAATAAATAAATACATTTAAAATAAAACATTAATACCAGAATAGATGCAACGGATTGAAGAAAACTATGATTTCATATTCATTATATAGGCTAAGTGAACTGTACTGCAAATCCACCACTTTAGACTGAACTTGTGAAAATAACGATTTCACCTACTTTTACATAACTATATTTATGTCATGAGAACTGTATAAATTAATAATAATAAAAAATAACTTGGTTGTATGATATTCCTTAAAAATAATAATATTATTATTCCTTTGAGAATTGCATTGTAGTATACAGTAGTAATATATTCAGTCATATACAGTCATTTCCAGTTAAACCGGACTTTTCTTTTGACGGTTTGTCGTGAAGGTCTTTCAGTTTTAGTTTTATTGTCAGCGTGTATTTGACGGTATTTTTTCTCAAATGAAACTGCATAAAGCTGGTGAAGTGACTCTCAGAGCAGCTCTGAAGATGAAGTGCATGTGTTCATGTCCTACACTACCCATTAGGGCTGTCAAAATGGCTGAAAAACTAAATCCGAATTTTGTACTTAAATATTATCAAAACTCGAATTATTTACGAATTTAAAATGCATAATTAGGGTGAAGAAAAGCTTTTGGCTTCTCTCCTGAGGCCACAAAAGGGCGAATCGAGCAAAGTATTACTATTCAAAGCATAGGATAACCTGACTATCTGTGAAAAAAGTGCATAATGTTTAAAATAATGTTTATAAACCAATTATAATTAAGTTGCTTAAACAACTATAAACAAAACAGCATCATGTATGTATGCAGAGTTTAATACAAAGGGCTGAAAGCCAATCACACAGAATACATTTTTCATTTAAAAACATGAGATGAAGGGGGATGGGGGAAAAACCCTGCCATAAAGTCTCGAGATATGTATTTTCAAAGTTGACCTTGCATTAATTTTACATGGCTTTCTAAACATGCAGCTCTTTTGTGCGAGACGCGAGTGCAACAGTAATAGATGTCCGTCTAGAAAATGCGTGAAATATGCGTTCTGTGTG